AGCCAGTGAAGAGTTTGGTCCCAATACCCATTTATTCCAGTTTTAAATTATGTGGTCTTGATGTCAAGGACTGTTACACACACCACACCTCTGGAATTCAGTTCTTCTTCAGAAGCTGGAATGAAGTCAGGAGCTGAGACGCCCTGGTGGAACCCAAACTGGGCATCACTGAGCAGGGTATTGTTGAGTAGATGCGTCTTTATAGCACAGTTGATGACACATTCCATCACTTTACTAATGATCGAAAGTATAGCAATGAGGCAGTAAATCGTTCGGTTGGATTTGTACTTTTTTTTTGTGTGTGTACACAGTTTACCTGTGCAATTTTCCACTTTTTCGACAGATGCCAGTGTTGCACAATGTTGTCAGCTTGGATAGGGAACGGCAAGTTCTGGAACAAAAATTTTCAGTATTATTGTTGGTACGTTGTCAGGACACAAAACATTTACAATATCCAGGGCTATGACCATTTCTGAATATCATGTGAAGTGAAACGAATTGAAGACTGGTATCTGTAATGCTGGCGACCACTGGAGGAGTCCGAAATGTTAATGTAGTGGCAGGGATAAAAAAAAACCACCTAAGCAACAGAGAGTATGAATAAATGAAACTTTGTCATGATGTCACGAGTGGTGTGCCAAGGGACATAGGCTTCAGGTATTTTCAACATAAATAAATGACATAAACCCCTAGGAATTAAAGCAATGTTTATTGAATGTGCTAACGATGCAATGATACTAAGAGAAAACGATTGGAAACCTAAACAGCACATAAGGACCCTATAAACGTGTAATAGAACAGTTAAATACTGGACAACGATGTGGTAAAGAGGGGGATTGTCCATTTTGACGGGAAACCGGAAAAATATAAATGATGAGAAGTTGCAAAATTCTGAGATGCAGAAAGACTAGGATGTCCCAGTTCATGAACTGCAGAAGATTTGTATGCAGATGCAGCGAATAATCAGGAGGGCTAATGATTTGTCGTGCTTCGTTGGTGGGGGATTTGAATGCAAAAGGGAGAATATATTCCAGTTTTTCAGAGCATTGGTCAGTCTGCATAGAGTCATAGAATAATGCAGCATGGAACCAGGCCCTTTGGTCCAAGCTGGTCCATGCTGACCATGGTGCCCACTCAGCTTTTTCAAAATGTCCACATTTGGTCCAAATCCCTCTAAACCCTTCCCTCTATGTACCTATTCATTTTTTTTTTAATATGTCGCTATTGTACCTACCTCAACCACTTTCTCTGGCAGCCCATTCCATATACGCAACACTTTCTGCATGAAGAAATTGGCCTTCAGGTCCTTCTTAAATCATGCCCATCTTACCTTAAACCTATGTCCTCTAGTTTTAAATTCTCCACTCCCGGTAAGATGACTATATGCATTCATCCTATCTATGCCCCTCATGATTTTATACAGGTCAATAAGGTCACCCCTCATTTTCATACGTTCTGAGGAATAAAGTCCTGCCCTGGCCAACCTCGCCCTATAACTCAGCCTACCAGTCTCGTAAATCTTCTTTGCACACTTTCCAGTTGAACTTTTTTTTTTCTATATCAGGGTGACCAAAACTGTAAACAAAACTCCAAGTGCGGCATCACCAATGACTTATAGAAATGTAACATAATGTCACAACTCCTATATTCAATGACAAGAATGATGAAATCCAGCATGCTCAATGCCTTCTTCACAACACTGTCCACCTGTGACGCCACTTTCAATGAACTATACACTTGTACTCATAGGTCCCTCTGTTCCACAACACTCCCCAGGAGCATACCGTTTACTATATAGATAACGCCTTGGTTTGACTTTCCATTGTGCAAAACCTCCAACTTATCTGTTTTGACTTGCATTTGCCAATCCTCAGCCTTTTTCCCCATATGAACAAGATCTCTCAGCAACTGGAGTACTGTGTATAGTTTTGATCAATGCACTTACGGTAGGATGTTAATGCATTGGAAGTAGGTTAAAATAAAACAAAAACTGGACTAATATCTGGAATGAGCTGAAAACCTCATGTGGAAAGGCTAGACAGGTGATTCTTTGAAAGTCCCTTCCTCAAAGGACAGAATTTATAATCGTAAAATACTTGGAAGAGTTGGCGCCTTCATAGAGAAAGATAAATGCGAGGAGAAGAATTTTACTGCTATATGAACAGATCTCTGCGAAACAAGGGAGTGGAATATCATATACAGTTTAAATGGGTGGACTTAAGTCAAAGTTTGGAATTCATGAAAAAGATTTAAAGGCAAGGGTTGGATATTTAGCAATGGAATCATGGCGATATGAGGGGAAAATCCTCTACATGTGACACATGTTCAACATCTGAAATAAACAACCAGAGACTCTGGTGAAAGGGAGCTCAGTTAGAAGCAGCATGAAACGAAAAGTTAAGTAAACGCACACAAGACAATAATCATGGGTAAGGAGTACGGTTAGAAGAGCTTATCCCACAAAGGAAGAAGATGCACAGCAATAATACAATGATGAAAATTCTGTGCTACTTTCAACATTTTTGTGTGTGTTATTTTCTCAACGTTTGAGCTGAACTGTTGTACATTTAGAGTTCTGGAAAATATGGAATATGTATCCCAAGGTATTAAAATATTCTGTTCCATTCAGAATTTAATAAATTAATGGCTACGTTGATGGTAACTTAGGACTGAAACTAAATGTGATATCGAAAAGAGAGTGATGATGTTCAAGAAAGATCTGTATTCTTTTTGAACACAGCTTTCCGTTGTGATTAATCACTTTGATTGAACCCTCGCTGATAGTTTTTTCATTAATGTTATTGTTATTCTTTTACCCATTTTGCTCTGGACCTGAAGATAACTCATGGACATTCAGAAGCAGCTTATGTTCTGGGAGGTTAATTGTAGACAGCCTTGTTCAGAAGCATTCTTATAGACACAGCAACCCCAGGAAGTGTGTTGAGTATAAACAGAAAGCAGAAGCTATTAAACAGTTATCATTAAGCTATTAACGAGATCAGTACCTGTTTCGGGACCATCTGGAAGAAACCCTATATTCAAGTAGATGGCGAACGGTCATCGAGGCCTTGGAAAAATGCACTCCATGTCTCGGGACGGAACAAGAGCAGAAGGGTCTGAAAAGGGTTCTGAGGAAGCATCACTCAGATTATGATTTCTGTCCACAGATGCTGCCAGACCTGCTGTGTGCTTTCAGCAATTTCCGTTTTTGTATCGGATTTACAGCATCCACAGTTCTTTTGTTTATTCTTTTAAACTTAGTATTTAACTCAGTACCTCTTCTCTTCCAGGCATGCCCACCTTGAAGAAGTTCTGTTCAGTCTCCGACACAATTTCTGTTCCAATTTTTGTTCTTTGAACCAAGAATTTCTGAGAAATGGTCACTGAGCACGAACTGTTAACTCTGATTTCTATCCACAGATGCTACCAGACCTGCAAAACTTCTTCCAGCAATATCTGCCATGATGTGGAAATACCGGTGTTGGATTGAGGTAAAAATAAGTCAGAAGTCTCATGACACCAGTTTATAGTCTAACAGATTTATTTAACATCACAAGATTTCGAAACACTGTTCCTTCGTCTAGTGACACACCAGGATTTGAGTGTCAAAGAACAGAGCAGTCAGTTCGAAGTGTTGTCATCTTTCCTTGAATAAACTGAAGATCATTGTTTCCATAAAAAAGAACTGACCAATATGTCCACATTTGTGTCTGTGAAGTAACACATTATGAAAACCATTTAAGTTATTGAGATAGCAAGAACGGCAGATGCTGGAGTCAGAGATAATGAAGTGTGGGGCTGGGAGATCACAGCAGGCCAGGCAGCATCAGAGTTACAGGAAAGTTGACATGAAGCATTTTTGAAGAAGAGTCCAGAACAGAAACGTCAACTTTCCTGCTCCTCTGATGCTGCCTGGCCTACTGTATTCCTCCAGCTCCACACTTTGTTATCTCATTTAAGTTATTGGGCCAATTTTGATATTTTCTTTTTTCTCTCTCTTAAAGGTGTAAGTCTGTCTTTTGTGTCATGGTTGGGGGAGGTGTCGGTGGTGCGGGGCGGGGTGAATGTTTTGGGCTTAAAGCTTCAGCATTAATTGGATTACATGGCGCCCGATTTTCTGCTGCTAAATTTGGTTTGTTTTTTTTCGTTTAAGATACAAAACTGGTATCTATGTTTAATTAATCACAAAGGCTAGGACGGATAATTAACAGCAATCATTGGAATAACTATAGAGAGTCTTCTAAAGGTTTGACTTTCCTGTTCTGTGAATGCAGCGATAGAAAGGCTTATTTACTTTTGTCTCTGTTACATGGTAACATCATGTGACCTGATAGGCCCACCCTTGGGATTTCTGGTCTCCAATTCCATCTGATGATTAATTGAATTTCATCAACAGACAATTAAAACAGCTTAATAACCTATTTTTCAAAACTTAGGAAAATATTTTGTAAAAAAGAAACGCAACATAACTAACCCCCTGGAGCTCCACTATGGTATAAAAGATAATGAGTTGGGGGTACTAACTCAATTTTTTTGGTTCAGTGGTATTGCATGCATTACAAACAGACAAATTCGTTTCACACATAAAATGCATCGTTCACTTCTTTTTGCCAGGAAAATTTATTATACCATCCTCGCTATCGTCGGTGTTTCAGGTAAGTATCTATCAGGATAAAAATTGTGTCATTCTCTGTACAAGTTGTGCTGTCATTTTACCATTATATGAGATTTTGTGTACACAATTATACAGAAATACAGTTAACAATATTGAGCTCATTAATTTAAAACTCAGTGTCTAAGACTAAATTCCTTTTCTTTCCGTTTTATCAGTTGTTGATAGCTTACAGACTTTGTATATTCAATAGTTATTACATTCATTGTAATGATGCGTTCTGTTCAAATGCACCTCAAAGCAGGAAACTGGGCGAAGGAGTGCATGACTTGGATCATTTCTCAGTGTAGTATTATCCTGGATGTGCTCGCTGACTGGATTCGAAAACATGACGCAAATTGTCATGTGTGACTTGGATAACCTGTCATTCTACAATGGTACTGAGTGTAGTAGACTATTTAGAGTATTCCACGGATCACAATTACATGTTTCTCCCGCAGTATCCATTGTTTGCATTTGGTGCGTGGGCATTCTTTTCCTCTTATTCTTGTTGTATTAATAACAGCAATTATTGTCCTGATTAATTTACTTACCAAGCTCACTCCGAAAAACTGCTGGATCATGACTTAATTGCTAGAATGAGCAATTCTTTTCCATATGATCAAAAAGGTTGAAGACTGGAACTCCTCCAAACGCGTGTTAGAGATATAGTGTGACACAAATAGGGATGTCTACGCGTCTGAGGTAAGTTGCTTGCCCACACCTGCTTCTATTTGCAAACGAGTCGATTATTGACTTCCTCCTGGGCAGTGTTTTTAATTATTATTTAGTTCTGGGGCATTCTAGTCGCTGGGTGGTTCTGCATTTGCTGCCTGTTCCTAGTTATCATTGAAAAAAATAGCGGTAAGCTGCTTTCTTAGACCACTGTCATCCATACGTTGTAGGTAGACATGCAACGCTATAGGAGAATACAATTCTGACGGTATGAAAGCATGCCAGTAGGCTGATCGAGTCCACACCAAAATCTAAAGATCATCTCTTCCCCTTACCCAACCCGGCCCTGTAAAACTGCATTTCCAGTGGTTAGTCTACCTAAACTGCAGGTCCCTAGACACAATAGGCAATTTAGCATGGCCAATCCACATAAAATGCACTTCTGCATAGTCATCGTCTGAAATATGTCAAGTGCTATAAATGCCACATTTTAATGAATATTGAAGATAGATTTTAAAAAGGAGTCTTGAGTCCTGTGTTCAGCAGCACAAATTTAACAGGTAGGTGATGGCCTAGTGGCATTGTCGCTAGACTATTAATCCAGAGACCCAGCTAACGGTTTGCGAACCTGGGTTCGAATCACACCTGGCAAATGGTGGAATTTAATAATAACCTGAAATTAAGAGTGTAATGGTGACCATGAAACCATTGCCTAATGTCAGGAAATTCTCATCTGCTTGATTAATGTCCTTGGGGGAAGGATATCTACCACCCTTACCTGCTCTGGCCTATCTGTGACTCCAGAACCACACCAATGTGGTTGACTCTTAACTGCCCTCTAGCCAAATAGGGATGGGCAATTAATGGTGGTTTAACTAGCGCTACCCACATCCCATTAACGATTAAAAAAAAAAAAAGTCGATCTCTATTTGGGCCTCCTTACCAATGCAGTGTGGGAGACGTCTCTCAGACACAGTCTCTTTCTCAATAAAGGGCAGGATATTTATACTTAGCATGTTACAATGGTTGCATTCAACATTGATATCTGTGTTTGCCGCTGCCCCTCGGACCAACACATCCAATCCTTTGAATACACGATCAATGATGCACACATCCATGGTCAACTGTAGGTCCTGCCATCGTCTCGTGATATTTGTCAGAACTTTATCACCCATCCGTGGGCTCTTACAATACCTTTTATTGATCATATTCCAATAATGTCTGTTTTGTCCCTTTCTGGATGTGTGTTGCACATATTTACTTTACTAATGACTTCTTAAAATTATTTTATACAATGGTATATTCCTTGCAGAAAGTAATACAGAAGCTCAGTAAGGATATTAATTTCGACCAAATGTCATACAGTTTGCAATATCAGCTCTAGTATAAAGTCACTTCTGAAGTTATACATTGTTTCACGTAATACTACAATTCTGTGACAAAGCCGACAATTTTGAGGGCAGCTTCATTCTTACTCGATTTTGAAAAGTCAAACAAACTCAGTCTCTCTGTCTAGCAACTGCCATTTACAAATTATTCTATTTTCATGCTGACAGGTGGATTCAAACGGAAGTTTGATTCTTGGTGGACCTTACCATGATTACTTTGAATACTTTTCAAACCAGTACTCTGTACTGAATAAGATAGCACTTATTCAAATCCCATTATTGGAATTGAAATACAATCACTTTTCCAGCCTTAGAAAGTTATTAAAATAAGTTTATTTGGATTCTGTAAGGTTCTACGGGATATGACCTATTAATTTTGATCTATAATCCTTCTCGGCCATTCTGCCCTTGTTCTTTAGTCTGTTCATTAGGTTAGGAATCGGGAATTGTTTATTTTCTTGAAGTCGTATGACCCTGTTTAATTTTTGTTCAGCCCCCTTCCTTGTTATTTTATTTGTCTTTTTGTACTCTTTTATGACTTTTAAAAAAAAAAGTACTATTTTGTTGTTCTAATCTCCCAGTTGATGGAATGAAAGCTTCTCTCTACTGCCTGAAGCTATTTATTTAAAGGAAATTCAGTTGAAAACCTTAATGCTAGTGCATCAGCTACATTTATAATTTTAACATACCCAAATAGGTGTACGTCATAAATAATTACAATTAGCTAAAATGTCTCAATTATGTCGGATCAGATGTTCTTATGATCTGTACTAAATACCACGCTGCAAACCAACCGGTACCAAAGCCTATTAGCAAGGTTTTCCAACGGTATTTATCAAAACCGTCTCTGCATCCAAGGCTAACTGCCTATAGAAATCTAATTAAATTTCCCAATGCCTAATACGTTAAAACTGTTATTATTGTACGAATATATCTATCGACTCTAACATATAATTATTTAAAATCCTCCTGTAAAGTGGTTCAAGTTCTCCCTTTCTTTTTAATATTAAAATCAGAAATTTCAAATCACACAGTTTCCACTTGAGCTACAGTTTGCCATCAGGAAGGAGGAGGTTTATTGTCTGCATTCTAGCTTCATCTTATTAAGACTGTATTACAATTCTCATAGGCTTTTAATTATCTGTCTGTGACAGTCATGATTTGAGCTATATGAAATGCTGCATAAGCTCCAAAATTAACCCGTATCGATTTGTGTCAGCTGAAAAAAAACGTAGCCATTTGCAACATTCAGCCAGGGGCAGCTACACCAATGACTGAGGGAGTAATTGTCTCTCTTTGAATATCTCCATAAATCTCTACGTTTCTGTCCTCTATTAACATAGAACTTGAAGGTTTTATTTTAGTACTCCTTTTGAGGGAATTGTCCCAATTGACTTGAAAACATTTACATCATCATATGAAACATTTTCTAAACTTAATTTAAAACCCTCATGTAGCTCAGACTACATGAAATATTCTGTCTTAAGCAAGAGATTAAGATTTCAAAACAATTCATTTCTATGCGGGCTGATGCTATCCTGTCCCAAACGTGTTTGCATTCCAACGTAGGTTCTTTCACCAACAGTGTTCGTGGTGTGCTAAAACGTTTCAAACTCACCATGTAATTTTATTTTGGAAACATATTAATTCTTATAATCTGATTGTCGTGAGTAGTATACTGGGCATTCTATTCTGGTACATTAATCACATTAACTGCATGCTCAGTTATTCGTTGAGAATTTTTTTTTCTAATCTCTGATCAGATTCATCCCTAAATGTCTGACTTCGGAAAGAGAGAATTGTTGACATTAATTTTTTAGTTTTCTTTCCATCTTTCCCCAATACAGTCAATTCAGTGGCAATAGCGATCCTGTCCCGTGGAAAGTGTGGACTCTCTCCGTGCACCACAAGGTACCTTGTGGCCATGGCAATGGCGGATCTCCTGACAATTGTCACTGAGGTCATACTACATCGAATCATGTATTTTTATTTTCCATTGTACTTCCTGAAAATCACCCATGTGTGCAGTGCTGGTTATGTTCTGATACGTGTAGCCATAGACTGTTCTGTTTGGTTCACGGTCACCTTCACTTTTGATCGATTTGTTGCCATTTGTTGCCAGAAACTGAAATTAAAATATTGCACAAAGAAAACTGCAACCATAGTCCTAGCAACCACCGGGACTGTGTTCTGTTTAAAAAACATTCCCATCTACTTTAAATTTAAACCAATATATATAGTTGACAATGTTCCAATGGAGTGTTCAAATAAGCCAAGCTATTTTACTGACCCTAGATGGATTGGATTTAGAATGTTTGAAAAGGCTTTATCGCCATTGATACCATTCGCATTAATTCTTTTGCTCAATGGTCTTACAGTGAAACACATTTTAATGGCCAGTCAGATCCGCCAGGCACTGAAGGGTCAAAACAAGGGAGAGAATCAGAGTGACCCAGAGATGGAGAGTAGAAGGAAGTCTATGATTTTACTCTTCTCCATTTCAGGCAGCTTTATCCTTTTGTGGTTTGTGTACATGTTATTTTTTTTCGAAGTTGAAGAGTACTTGGATGAAGATTCTGCTCACCTTTTTGAAAAAGTCGCCTATATGTTGCGGAATTTAAGCTACTGTACAAATACGTTTATTTATTTGGCCACGCAGTCCAAGTTCCGACAGCAGTTGAAGAATGCTATGAAACATCCATTTATATCAACTATTAAACTATGTATTAAATAAAGAAACCACGAATATCCATAATGTCCACAGGTAGGATCGAGTTTGGCTAGAGAAGGACGAAAAGGACAAAGGTACTGGAGTGGGAATGCAGCAATTGCTGTTACCCAGGAGAAAACACGACCAGAGAGCAGGAGTATAGACACAAAACAGCACAAGGTGGCAGATAGATCAAAATGATCATGTCATTGCAAAGAGTATCAGAGGACGCTTAGTACAATAACTGAAATACTCAGATAGAAGAATTCTCAGCAGTACAAAAGCAACAAAAGGCTCTAGACGATGGGTAACGAAAAGATAAGTGGACATATGCAGAAGGGTTACAGACAAATGGTGAGAGATGACAATAGGTATTACGAGTGGGTTAAGGGTAACTTCAGGCAGATAGTGTAGAAAGATCAACGGGGCAAGCGCTGACATTCGAGTAACAGATTGCAAAGAGTTTAGAAATACAGCAGGGGATCAATTGAAGGGCACAAACCAATATAACCATCATAGTGTTCCGACCACAGATTTGATTCAATTCAGATCTCCTCACTTATACTGAGAGATGGAAGAAAAAAGAAAAGTCTTTCAAGTAAAAAAAAAACACACTGGAATAACGGACATTTCTTGGCTTGTTAGAATTATTACTTTCACTTCTCCATAATCACAAACAGTAACATAGATTAATTACATCCCCGTTCCATTTCTCCATCATAACAGCTGTCATCACTCTCTCTTTCTCTCTCCACCTCCCGCCACCCAATGCGAGACTGAGGGGTTACATGGATATTACTAGTATAAATCGGTGCAAGCAGAGTCCCGCTGTGGAAAGATATGATGAAGTAAGATAACGACAAGAATGGCTGGGTCTCAGGATTGCCACAAAACTTGAAAATCCTTGAGGAATCTTTTTTATCCATTAATGACTGACACTGTTCACCTGCTTGGTAACTGCCTTCAAATGACTCTGTCTTTTCAAACTGTTCACTCCACACATCTCCTTCTCCAATCGTTCACCTTATTTCTTTTTCTTTTATATTGGCCTGTTCCTATTTCTCGCTCTCGGGATCTGTTACCTACTCCTAAATAGCCGCACTGTTTCTTGATTTCACTGCTCAGTTACTTACTGTGCTACGGCTCAGTTTTAAAGCTTCTTACACCTGCCTATTATTTTCAGTTTGTTTTTCATCCTCTTGACTTTCTCTGAAACACTCTATCTCTCTTCTTTTACTCTCTGCCCTTCATCTCACTTCTCATATCTCTTGATGTCTCTGATTCCCACTCGCTCCATGTCCACACGACACTTTTTCTGTCCACCTGTCTCTCTCTTCAAACTTGTCTCTCCCATCAAAATTCAAAACTGCAAAGGTAATCTTCACTCTAAACCTAATACATGAGAAAGAACTGAGGCTCTGAAAGCTCGTGTTTTCAAATAAACGTGCTTGAACTATAACCTGGTGTCGTATGATTTCTGAGGATAATGGAAGTCATTGAGTGATAGGATCCTGTTGTTACTTTATCTTTCAAAAATAACTTGACTTTGTTTTCATCAACTTCAGTCTCTCAACTAGGAAGTTGATAAGAGACTGAAGTTTAGGCACAGACTGTGGGAGAAATAGCGTTTCTAGGAGTGAGGAAACGGGTGTGTATTCCTGTCTCTCTAATAACTCTTTCCTCCTCCCAACCCGTCGAATAGAAACACTTGTAATTCTGCCATGAGGAATCGTCGGACACGAGCTGGACCCAGAGAAAGAATAATATTAAGCTGTCTTGTTGTCTTGTCATTTATCTAATTTTTTTTTGGGAAAGATAATTGTGTGATTTAGGCTGTCACTTGGACTTTTAACACAAGGTGCAATGTTCGGAATGGAGGAAAGCAAAAGCAACAGAACTGTCAAGAGCGACTACTGCACAGAGCCCAGAGACTACCTCTACCTCTCACTCCAGCTATAATCTCTGCCTTCATGTTCCCAGCTGTCTCTCCCACCGTTTCTTTAAATCCCCATTTCTCCATATCCTTCACATCTCCACCATGTTCATATTCTTCTTTAGATCACTTATTGCAACTACCTGCCTCCTAGCTCTTTTGTGTTTTTCTCCCTGAATATTCCTTTTTCACTTAACACGTCTCACTCTTTTTTTAATGTTTATCCCTGTGACTGTCTCTTTTTTGTTTCTCTCTCTGCGTTTTCCCCCTCCCTCCCTGCTCGTCAATTTCTCCCGCTATATCTACATTGTTGTTTCTCTCTCGCTGCCTCCCTCCACCCCTCTCTTTCTCTCTCTCTCTATCTATCTGTCTCTCTCCCTCTCCCCCTCATACCCCCTCCCCCATTCCGTATCTCCCTCTCCCCAACTCTCTGTCTCACTCTCTGTCTTTGCATGAAACCGCCATTTACTAAGTTGGAGGCAGGTGATGTATGGTACTAGAATCTAGCTCAGCATTAAGGCTGTCAATCAAAAGGCCAGTTCGTCACTGTGCATTCTCATCGTGTTCTCCTTTCTGTTTGACAGGTTTTCCGTGAGGGAATAAGAGGGACTGAGAAAGAGAGGAAGATATTCACAGTGATGGCAGGCGTGGACTGAGAGAGGGACGAATTAGACCACAAAAAGCAGAGAATGCAGAGCAGAGCAGAACAGGGCAGGGTGTTCTTGAATAGACGTCCCCATAGAAAATGTCACGGATGATGTAGTTTCGGGGGCATCAAACAGATTCAAATACCAAAGAGCTGTTCTTCTGGTAGGTTTTTCCTCTCTTCTGAAATGTCTGGATTTGTCTCTGATTCTCTCTCTCTCTCTCTCTCTTTCTCTCTCTCTCGCTCTCTCTTCCACACCCTCTGCCTGCCATTCTGTTTCTTTCCCTTGGATTTCTCCGTGGATCTCCATTTCATTCTTTCCCAAGTTCGCTCAAGGGGGAGTTTCTTTCACTCCCTGGAGATTGCAATCTTGCTGTGAATGAAGTTGATCAGTTAGTCTCTGCATGTACTCACTGAATCCTGCACTTCAGACCCTGGGACTAGGAGACAGAAGTTATTGTATTGAAGGGAGAAAAAATGTGTTTTTTTTCCGGTGGCTGGAATACACAGGAACTATTCAGGGGAGGAAGTTTGGTAGGATGTGGAGGAGCTGAAGCAGCACAGAGATGTCAATTAAACGAGGACTATGTCCCAACATAACTTCTGAGTAGGGGAGGGGGGGTGTGTTTGACAGAGCGTTAACAGTGAGGGGGTGGGAGAGGCTGAGAGCGATTGACAGGGGGGATTGATAGAAAATTAAATTGACAGGCATGTTATGAGAAAAGCTGAAGGAAGATGTGAAGGGGAAAGAAGAGAAGGAGACAACACGAGGGGCACAGTGTCGGGCAGGATAGGGTATCATGGATTGGATATCCCCCTAGCAAGTGTAATGCATGAGGGTGCTCATGTGGCATCAACAGGTGTAAATAGCAATTGCGTTCCTTCTTTCTATTTCTATTTCCACCTTTCTTGTTTAATGAGTTATAATAAACAATGGGACGTGGAGCTATTTAAGTGGAGCAGATCATCATATATTGAGATGTCCATCACTGGTTCGAATTAATTGATGAACGCTGCCTGTGTAATGGCATTAAGATACCATCAGAGGGTATCATTGCATCATTTTCAACACCACAGAGACTGCTGGATCGAAATGATAAAGTTAAATTAAGCTCATGTTTGGCGATCTCAAGGAAAGATTAGATGAGGGCAATCACTTGATATTTGATTTTTCTTCCCTTTAAGCAGGAATTGGGCTTCATGTTGCAACCCTTCAGCTGCTGTACCAAAAGTTATGACTTATGCGGTGACCCAGATTTAGTTCAGTCGGCAACTCATGAATGTGCTGAAATGTCCCATGAGTCAAATCAATCAATCAATCAATAAAGTTCACTAATTAATGTATCAATCCAAGATTTTCTCAATTCTCAACAGTGGAGTGCAGATTCCTGATGTAGAGTGATTAACATTCATGCTAAAGTAACACCGCATAAATAAGTGAAATTATAAGTGCCGATTTGGAGTATTGTTTGCGGAATTTTACTGTGTTTTAACTGGTATCATAACGTCATAGTTTGGACTTACATAACATGCTTAATGCAAGGAAACGTACAAAGATGATCCAGAGCAGTTTTGTGAAGAAATATTCAACGCCAAGTCAGCGAGGGTGACATTAGAAATGATGCTTAATCAGTGAGTGCATTTTTCAAGGACAGTGAGGTAGAGAGGTTTAGGAAAGGAATTTCAGAGCTTCACAAAGATTCACGAACAGGCCCCTATTGCAGTAGCTAAAATCTGGTAAGCTAAAAAAGGCCAAGATGAAGGGAGTTCAGATCATTTTGAAGGTAATGTGATTGTAAGTAAGATGGAGATGGGGGCGGACAAGACCATCAAGTGAGTTAAGTCAAGGGCGTTAATTTTAAATATGAGGCATAACTTGCCCAGGGGCCAAAGTCTGCCAGTAAACAGTAGGATGGTGGAGGAAGAGGACATAGTGAGAGGCACAGACAGCAGTGTTTTGGATGATCACATGATTCCACGTGTGTGCATAGCCAGAAATACATTGCATTCGGGTCTAAGGCAACATGTACATAGATGAGAGTTTCAGCAACAGATGACCAGGGTGAGGTGGAGACAAACAACGGTTTGGAGATTGAACTTTCTGGTAATAACGATTGCGTGGATGTGTGGTCTAAAGCTCACCTTGGTCAGAAGTGACCGGAAGATTCTGAGAAGTTTAATTCAGCCTCAAACAGTTCTCAGAGAGAGGGATGGTTTCAGTATTCAGGGGACAAAATTTATAATGTTGACTGACGTAAATGTTCTCTGCATGTGATATGCAGTTTGATCATTTCCTAACAGTGGAGCAATGGAGAGGGACAGCGGAGAGGTAGAGCTGGCTGTTATCAGTGAACATGTGAAAACTGGCATTGCATATTTGGATGGTGAAACCGAGTGGCATGTAGAGGAGAAGCAGGAAGGACCAAGGAAAGAACACTGGGGACA